ATCTCAGCCACCAGCCCCTCCTGCCCCTGCCGCTCCATGCACCCCTCGCAGCACCTGCAAGGTGCGGGACCCCAGGCTGAGCACCAGCACAGCGGGCACCGAGGGGCCCTGGGGATGCCCGGCCGGCTGCTCACCTTCACCCACAGCCGCCACGCAGGGGTAAACGAGTGATTATTAACTACTGAAGGGCATGCCCTCTCCCATGCTGACGTCTCCTGGAAGCAGCCAGGGCAGAGGCAGTCCCTGCTTCCCGGGAAGTTCCTTCACTCTGGGACCCCATGCCTGGTACCCATCGCAGGCAGAGCTGGAAACCTCCCTGCGGGCACCTGTCCCTGTCCCTGTCCGTGTCCCTGCCTGGCTGCTGGGAGACACCTTCCCCTGTGGGAGAGGGGTGGCATGGACAGGGGGGACCCCAGAAACACGCTCTGGCTCTCAGTAGAGGAGATGCTGATGACCCAGCTGGGCATCCCCAACATCTTCCCCAGCTGGGACTCTGCCCCAGGGAAAGGTGTAAATAGGACAGGTCTGGGGAGGAGCTGGGGCTTGTGATGCTCAGGTGGTGTCAGGCTCCCAGTACTCCCAGTAGCCAGAGCCAGCAGGCTCCCGCATGCTGTGAGTGGAGAGGCTGCAGTGAACCAGGCTCCATGAAAGTGCCCGCCTGCTGCTGCCCAGCCTCTCCTGGAGCCAAGCCTGTCCCCACAGAGAGCCCTGCCATGGCACCCGGGTTTCTGGCCTCTCTTGTAACCTTCTGGCAAGGCAGCAGGCTGGTCCCCTGTCCAGGCGTGCCCATGTCCCCAGCCCACTCCTTCCCCACTCCTCGCTGGGCTGCAGAGAGCAGCCAGCAGCAGCCTCCAGACCTGCCCCATGCTGGGACCTTCCTCCTCCTCAGTGTCCCCCTTCTGATCCGGCCATCGCAGGGGAGTCAGGCTGTGCCCCAGGCAGACTGTGGCGAATAGGTGTTTATTACTGGGGGACATAGAAAGTCTTTAAGCAAAATGGCTTAAGGCTCTGCTTTAGTTTGGCCTGGCCAGGTTAAAGGCTTAGTTCCCACCTGTTACAGGTTGTGTGCTGGGATGGGTGGGAATGGGGAGCAATGGACTCCTAAAGCTACAGGGCTCGCTCTGCTTGGCCGGCCCGGAGCTGGCCCCTGGCCTGGGAGCCGGTGTGGTGGCATTACCTGCTCATGCACCCACGGGTCCCTGCTCCACAGCCGCCTCGGCTCTGGGAGCTTGTGCTGCTGGTGGGAAAACCACTCCGAGGGGAGCACCAGCTCTCCCGCACCCTGTGCACCCCGCGGCCCATGCAGTGGGTACCCCAGTGCTAAAGCTGCTGC